CAAAATCGGTCTTTATTTTTCTTAAAAAAAATTTTTTTTTAAATGTCTATTTATTTTTGAGAGAGAGGGAGAGACAGAGCGTGAGCAGGGGAGGGGCAGAGAGACAGGGAGACGCAGGCTCCAGGCTCCGAGCCGTCAGCACAGAGCCCGATGCGGGGCTCGAATTCACGAACCACGAGATCCTGACCTGAGCCAAAATCAAGAGTCAGATGCTCAACCGACTGAGCCACCCGGGTGCCCCCAGAATTATTTTTTAGAAAGTTCTATCGGGGTGTCCGGTCAGTCAGTTGAGCATCCGACTCGATTTTGTCTCAGGTCGTGATCTCGCGGTTCATGAGTTTGAGCCCCGTGCCGGGCTCTTCCACAGTCAGTGAGGAGCCTGCCTGGGGTTCTCTGTCTCTCCCTCGGTCTCTGCCCCTCCCCAGCTTGTGCACATGCACGTCCCCGGCCTCTGACACGGTGCAAGACGCGCAGACGCCAGTGTGTGCTGAATCAATCCTTTTATCAAATGCCTCCCTTGCTGCCACTGACCGTGAGCTCCTATTTTGTGTTTTGAGAGGTCTACTAAGCGAGGGGCACACTCTTGCCCCGTCTTCAAGTATCCGCCTCGTGCTGTGCTCCCGTTTGGAGCCTTGGAGACGCGTACTGGTGACGTTGGGGTTGGATTTGAAGGGAGAAGATCTGGGTGGAAAGTAGGGCTACCCACAGAGCTGGCAGGGAAACACAGAAATCGAGAGCTTAAGTTGCAAAATCACCCCCCACGTAACGGCCCAGATCCCTCGAAACACCGCACTGAGTCGGAGGCGCGACGGGTCCTTTTGGTCAGCATGGTTACTGTGTGCGTGTGCTTACCCTGTGCTCTGTTAGCAGCTGCTGGTTGGTCACCGTGTGAGGAGCCGAGGCCACCCGCTGCCCGGTGCTGTCCCAGCAGCACAGACCGAGGGCAGGGCAGCAGTGGGCCTGGGGGGGCTTTTTAACCCAAGTGCCGTGATCCGCGTCCCCGGAAGGAGCCTTTGTCATAACAGACAGTGAGCGGTGATTACCTGAAACTGGTCCCCAGCCATTGCTCTCCCTCCACTTGGGGCTCGTGTTCCCCTAGACCCTCTTCCACGGGGGCCTCGATGCCAGAGGCTGCGTCCTGTCCCCATGCTTGCCGGGGTCAGGAATGCTGTCCCTTCTGGTAACTCCTGCCTCAAGACCTGGGGTGGCTGGCTGGGAAGCAGTCTCCGGACCACCTCCCCATTGGCAGGCAGAGGGGGGAGTCCGGGAGTCCGAGTGGGGAGCCCAGAGGCGGAGTCTCAGCCAAACCCCCCATGTGACAATCAGAAGGGGGAGCACAGAGGCGGAGTCTCAGCACCCTCCCCCCCCATGTGGCTGTCAGAAGGCAGAGTCTAGAGGTGGA